GTTGAGGACATCTGGGATGACATTCGTTCGCAATGGAGGAGTGTAGACTCGCTGCGGGTTAGGCTGGGGAGACTGTGGCACATACAGGCAAGGCGTGATGAGCTGATACAAGCGGTCCCTGAGGACTGGGAACAGATCCTGTGGCACATACAGGCAAGGCATAGAACCGATGGGGCGATGGTACCGACCCCTCCTGCGCACCGGAAGGGAATTGCAAGTGCTCAAAAGAGTGGGTGCAGGGAGGATGGAGGTTTGGGAAAGACAAGTGAAGAATGGCATACCTACAAACGGGTTAATATTTAAGGAGGAACGTGAAGAGGGAGGAGATTAGAGTCGTACTATGCTTCTCGGATAGAGGGATAGCACAACCGGTATTGCTCATGGATGGCACACCTGTCCGTAGTATGCGGCTAGATATCTGTATGTATGGTTGGCCCAGTTGCAGGGGAGCACTGGAAATACACCAATATTCCTCAAAGCTTGGAATGGTATTGCAGAGGGCGAAAGGGAGTTCTACGGCCAAAATACATGAGGCGCTTCCTCAATCAAGTACGGGTACGACGTTAACAGTGGAATATTATAAGGAGATGTGGAAGGCCAGCAGGAGAATGCCAAGCAAGCGCTGTGCCTCAATTTCCTGGCTTGTTGTACACTCTGCCCCAATGGACGCCGTTGCTTTATTCAAAAGAGGAATGGAGGTGGATGTTCAGTGTGTGAGATGTCATCGACAACCGGAGGACTCGCTGCATCTTTGGGGCTCATGCCCATTGTCGTTACATATGTGGAAATGGTGGGCCTACCATTGGAAAGAGATGGGTGGTCCAGATGAAGTAAAGTGGGACTTGGAGTGGGCAGTGACGGGACAACTGCCCCCCTCACTGGCATATAGTAAAGGTTGGGGGTATGTGGCGGTAGCCATCCGCACAGCGGTGATCTGGTGGATCTGGAAGGAGCGTAACTCATTCCTCTTCCAAAAGAGAGATTTTTCGGACGGGGCCCTGAAGAGCGGTATGAAGGGCACAATCAGACAGATGATTACCGTGGACTGGCGAAGGAAAGTTTTGGTTAGAGCAGAACCGGACCGGTACCAGGCAAGGTTGCGGTTCCTGCGTTCGTGGGGGAAGAAGAACCGCCTGGCGGCAATCTCAGCAGCTACTGGGGAACTGGTACTGTCCAGGTGGTTGGTATCTACAGATTAGCAAAATGTGGGTGTGCAGGGAGGGCCCGCCCATGGAGAACCTCATAGAGTCCATTGTAGATATGTCAGTAGGAACCTGGCTGTGAGCTTGGAGTCGTTGGGGACAAAGGGTGTCATGGTGGGCCAAGTTGGTTAGGCCATAGAGGGTAACACAGGAGCCAAGACGGAGCACACCTGGACACTCGGTGGCCCGGGCATATCCCTGAACTGTACTTAGGCCAGGGACTCGTATTAGAGTCTGTTATTTAGTCGGCCGTGGTGATTGGAGTGGTCGTTCCGGTTTGGTGAGAAGTGTGCTGTCCGTCTACCAGGTTGGTCTGGTTAGGTGCCAATTGTCCGCCAGGTCGGTCTGGCATTTGAACTCATATTAGTTTCAGCACCGGGTTGAATTGTGAGGACCCCGGCCTCGATATATGTTTGCAATGCAATGACAATCTTGATATAAAAAAAAATAAAAAATAAATAAAAAATAAAAAAAAATAATAATAATAATAAATAAAAATAAAACAGGCAGTGGGATATCACCGCCGAGGTATGTCCGAAAAAAAAAAAAAAAAAAAAAAGGTGAAGACA